TTAAAAATGTATATCAGAATTTCGGTCGCAGAGCTGTCTTTATATCTAGTTCTAACTTAGAAACAATATTAACAAGTAAAAATAAATTCGTGCTACCACGCTTCAGCAAACCAGGTGTTTATAAACTAACTTGTACTTGTGGTAAATCATATATAGGTGAAACTGATTTGAAAATGTCCACACGATTTTTACAACACCAAAAAATTGATTCATGACAGGAAATGGAATAATTCTGGTGCATCAAACGATAAAAAAACTATGTCAAGGAAATATTTACGTCAAAGTTTTAGCATTAAGTTCAAACAAATTTGAAAGCAAAATTAGGGAAGCTTCGGAGATACAGTACCAAAATACTGATCCCATCTGACCAAATCGGAAACAATTTGGACGATGGTAAATATCTAAACACAGGTTTTAGAAACCAATCATGTGTTTTATTCAAGTTAAAAATTGACCTCAGTATAATGTTTTCTTTAACGAATTTTTTAAACGCATTTTGTAAAATTATTTAGTTTTACAGTTTCATAATGAGAACGTCTATTGGTATTGAAATACTACTAATAAGTAAATAATATTTTTTGTTTTAAATGTCACCATAAAAAGCAATTATTTTAAATAAAACGAATATTTGTACTAAATTGTATAAATTAAACTAAAATATAAAACAAATAATTCCACTAAGTGACGTATTAAACATCCAACTTCAGCCAATGTTGATGGACGTACAGTCCACACACAGTAGAGTGTCCGCCCATTAACTGATATAAATAGTTATAGACTCAGCAAAGTTAAAATTTACAGGCAAAAGTTTTTTGTTTGGATGAGCATGCTAAGTATCTTTTGTGAAGCGATGATTTACTAACTGCATTTCGCGGCCTGTTTTGTGCTAAATAACAACTAAAATTTTTGCTCCTGCTGCAAACATTAATAAGCTCAATTTTACCCTATGACCATCGTCTCTTCTTTAACAAAACTTTATTTTATAATGGACATCTGTCAAACATTATTCTAAATTTATTAAGTAACACTTACTTAGCTTGATCTTACATTCTTTATTCCTTAGCTTCGTACGGCCGCATGAATTAAAAACAAGTTATTTGACATAATCAATTTTGTTCTAATTGCGAAAATTTATTAAAGAGAATCATTTAAATGCAAGAACTCGAATTACAAGAGTTAAACTTTATAAAGAAAATCAAAATAAACATTTAACTGAATACTTGTGATATCTTTAGTCATATACAGAGCATATATTTATTAAAGGATGTAAACGGTATAAAGTATGGAATATTGTCAATCAATACTGAAAATGTTTAACCGACACTTAATAAACCTATGATAAAAGATTTGAAATGTACGCTTTAACCCTTTTTATTTCTACTACATTAAAAGTATACATTAAAAAGCTTGAAATGTAGATTCAAATCAATCGCCTATATTTGGTCAATAAATGGTCGTTAAATGTTTTATCCATTTTTTGATCCTTAATTCTTAACAACTCAGTGTTTACGGGGTTTCGTGGAACATTTTTATGGAACAATATCATTTATTATACTATTAAAGGTATTTTTTAAGATTTTAGCTTTCATTCTTTTTATAAAAAAAACCTTAAAAAACTATTTATTTAACGTATTCAGTTATAGAGATTCTCAGTGACAAAACCATTCTTTTGACCTTTTTCGAAGTCTCGCATTTTTTATTATTTTAATAATAAAACTTCTTTTGTAACTTGAATATTTTTTTTCGCTGAAATATTTTTCTAATAAATATATTCATTTATTTTTCTAATAAATATACTCGGAATATTTTTCTAATAAATATACTCGGAATCCATAATTATATTTATTTTGTAAGGAGTGTAAGGATCAGTAGTGCTATAAAAATTTTTATATTATAAACTATTAACAATTTTTTTTTTTGTACGCATCATTACACTTAAAGGCTATTTTAACATTATTAGTTAATGAAGCCATTAAAAATATTATTCACTGAAAACTTATCCGTATAAGTAAATTCTCAATTTTCAAATAGAAATTTTTTATAGGTACAATGATTTCATTCTTTAGCCAAAAAAAAAGATCGTTCAAATGTTGAACGTGTTATGGTATTTGAGCGTGTTTTACACAAATACTACTAATATGCTGTAAGTAATAATAATAATCAAAAGTAATAATACAAAATGCAACATAAACTGAAGTTACTTGTTTTTTGTTTCCTAATCATCATACTTTAATTTTACTTAAATTTAATGATTAATATCACAAAACTCAAGTTTAAGTGATATTCAAAATTAAATGTTTAAGTTTATGACACATTATTATTAACATTTGATAACCATCATTATTAACTAATAACCTTTGATAACCAAAATGTTATAGAATTGTAAGTGTTGGGTAGAATGGAATGTTTCTTTTTTTAACATGTGTTGTTTTACTTTAACAACGGACAAATGAATCGCACAAGGTATTTTTCGAAATTTTTACTTAAAGCAAATATTTTCTTTAATAAAAATTTGAAATTTAACTCTAAGGAATATACTAAAATATTGAACACATGAAAATAATATATAAAATAAAATTAAGATACGTTACTACAGAACATTAATGGAATAAAGTGAATTGCACCAAGAGCCTTAAAAAGTAACTTTTGTCCCGCGTCCTTAAGGTTATTGTTCAACCAACCATCTTAACTTTCCAGGATTTTTGAATCTGCCTCTGTGAGCTCATAGAGCTTATTCTTAACCATAAAAATGTAACTTGCGAGGATGATTGATTCGGCTGACACACTTTCGTTTTCCAGAAAATTTAATCTATGGTATACCAGGAATTTTTTCAAAGGTGTCAAGATAAGCCAAGAAGATCTCCATGTTTTATCACCGATGACATTTGATAGTTGGCTGGCCGTTTTCGACAAATGTCTACGATCATAGTCTTGTGTTTTTTTTCTGCGCAGAGTTAATATTTTCGGCTGCTTTATCGGCAACTTTTGTTCTAACTTTCATTGCTGATGAAAAGATTGAGTAGTTGGTAAAAGAACGTCGACTAACGCAATTAGCGAAAAGAATACTTGATAATTTGCAGTCATATTTTAAGATTTCCCTTTAAAACCTTCAAAGAGTTCTTTATTGTTCGGTTTTGACATTCTACCAATCCATTCCCTTGCGGGTGATAAGCAGACGTAACTCTCTGCTCCACTCCAGTTTATTCATCTAGTTGTTTATATACTTCATTTACAAATTCCCGACCGTGAGTTGTCATTGATTTGAATTTTAAAGCAGCTATACCAACACATTACCTCGTACAAAAATTGAGCGATAGTTTGTGCTGATTCGTCCTTCATCGGTTTGGCCTCAAACCATTTTAAAAAATAGTCAATCAAGACGATGACATAACTATCATCGATCACTGGAAGCTTACAGATATCCACTCCAACTTTTTTTATAATACTTGATTGTACTCGTATTGAATTCAATTATACTTTCGGAGACTTTAGGTCACCTTGTTTTGGTACTATTCGCAACTCTTTAAATATTTACTGATATAAGCAGCCATATAATGCCAAAAACCATATGTTTTATTTCTAAGATATTCTTCTATTTCATCAAAATCATAATGTTTTCTTTCCTTCGTCATGAAGCAGCACTTTAGCGTTTATTTGAGAAAATTTATAAGTAAAAAGTTACGTAACATTTTATTTTCGCAAGCATTTGCGCTAAAAATGACTTTAATTTACAATAGAATGACTTCTTTGTATACTTTTTTTATGACTTGTAAGTCAATTATTTCAATGGAATTTTTTGTAGTGCTTGATAATTTATTTAATATATAAAGCATAAAATGCAGCCAAGTACTAATTTTTAATTTATTTATGTAATATTTCAGTCTGATTAGCTCAGACCGTCATCAGACGTAAAATTAAAATACAATAAGAATCTCACAAAATACGTAAGTAAAAACCGTTTAGAAGACATTACAAAGATGAGCGACGTAACGTGAAAACTTTTTTGAAATTCCTGACCTTTTTTGACTTGTAAATCATATTTTTTAGTCTTAACTTTCCGCTCGAGTGGAGCATAAAACAAAATTTCATAATCATCAAAGCAATGTTGGTAACAATACTTTCAATCAACTACATGATATTCTGAAGTCGATAATGAAAAAAGTATCTTAAAGATTTACCTTTTTAGGTAACTGTAAATTGTACCCAAAATGATTTCAAAATCTAGCAGTAATATTATTTCAAATCATAAAATTAAAACTCAAGTGTAACCTTAAAAGAAAACTATTTGAAGATTATATTAACATCCCTTCTGTAGGCTATTGACGAGTTTAACATGAACAGTTAAAACTAGACAAGGGTGTTGTTTTTATTACGACGGCTTTTGTCGGAGCGCATTTTTTTTAAAAGTAGATCGTTAAGTTTTTTAACCGGAGTAAGCGAGTTTAAAACTGAGTTTTGATTGGCTTTTCATACAAACGCGCCAAATCAATGCCGTTTTAGAAAGTTAAGGGATGTAAACACAGATGTTCAGACATTGTATCAATTGTTCTTTTTGATCTTAGAATAATGACGTTCTAATTTTGTCTCATACTTAGATTGATATTATCTCAAATTAAAAAAGTTGTTGCTTTAAGATCAGTAGATTATTATTTTATTCCTCTAAGTTAAGTTCAAAACTTGCTGTTCCATTCAATAGTAGTTAAAAAGTATTTTTTTAAATTAACATTGCAACATTTAAAATGAATCATGTTTTTATTTAAATTACTTTTTTTTCTTTACCCAAGTTTTTTTTATTTATTTAAAAAAAATTTTAATTGTAAATTTTAACCCAAATTTTAAATATTAAAAGCAAACGAAAAATAGTTAAATGTAACAGTTAATATTTTATTGTATGGTAATGTTGCAGATCAAATTGCTTAATATAAAGCGATATAAAATTGTGCTTTCCAATCCTAAAATATAGTATAATGATTTGACAGAAAAAAAGATTTTAATAATCTGACATTAATATACGTTTTCGTGATTTCCAACATTTTTATTGTTAAGTTTGTACAGATTTAACTAAGAATATAAAAGATGAATAAAAATGGAATTTTACGAACAAGAAAAGCATCTCCATCTTTGAAATTGAAGGACCCAGTTGAGGTATATATTCAACTTTAATAAAATTGGTAGTTGATTTCAAAGATTATATTATGCTTATTAAATCATATAAGCATTTACATGATTCAATAAATATGACTTTTTTAAATTAAACATTAATTTTTTTTTCTATTAAGAAAAAATTAACAAATTAATTGCAATGCTGTGGTTTAATATTCATGTTAGTTCCTTAAACATTCATGTTAGTGTGTTAAATGTTCATGCTAGTTTATTAGTTATAGTACTCATCTTATTTGCTTACTTGTGTAATTATAGTAGTGCACCATAAATATCTACTCAGTTATGGTAATACACCTACATGTATATAAAAATAATTTTAAATCAAATAGTTTTAAGTGTAAGATTTAACTGATTTATTTTGTTTTTGTTATAAAATGACATAATTTTTAGACTTATGTCCAAAATTGTTTCATAATTTTCAAAGATTTTTTTATGTAAGTAGTTGTTTCATACTCTAATAAGTTATAGTAATGCAGTTTTTTTGTATGTACATATACATTATGTCTATGTTTACATACTATGTAAATATAAGTATGGTATGGTTTGTGTTTATTTTTTACTTTGATAAATTTTTCTTTTAATTTGTTCCTACAAATAAATGAAATAAACTTTTTTGCTCAGCTATTTTCTTGAATGAAATTATAATATTATAAGATAAGTTTATGAATAATTATACTTGTCTCATAATATAAGTATATGTAAATATAAATTAAATGGTACATATATATATATATATATATATATATATATATATATATATATATATATATATATATATATATATATATATATATATATATATATATATATATGTATATATATATATATATATATATATATATATATATATATATATATATATATATATATATATATATATATATATATATATATATATATATATATATATATCAATCAACCCTTGGAATTAGGGTCGATATTTGGCAATGCTGACCTAAGAGTGTTAGAATTTGTCTGCAAATAACAAAGTTTTTCTAACACTGGTACAATTTGTCTGCAAACAATAAAGTTTAATGACTTCACATCCCTGAAAGGTATTGGCTTTTACCCTCTTGTCAAATATGTACTTCTTTGATTCTGGGTATGTTCTTCAGTTACAAGTAGTTCGAACATATCAGATTTATCACTATTAAAAGGATTGAGTTTCTCATTCATAACTATAGGCTCAGCTAGGCATTTGTTTATTTGGTCACAGTGTGCTAATGTACTTAAAGAGTTATTCCTTAATATGATGGCAGTGTTTAACTAGCCTGAGAGATAAATAAAGCAGGTTCAGGTTTTGAGCCTGGTCTTTGTTGAAACCATAATGGTGTTCTATTTTCAAAACTCATAGTGAGAGGGGATCAACTCAACTGCCTCCCCATCATCTCGGAAGGACTCATTGATCTTCCTGTATGAGGTATTGTTCTGTAAAAGCATTCTGCTTAAATACCCACATAGTAAACCTTTATCCAGTGGATAAGCTTTTAAACCCATCTTAACTGTCTCTACCGTTCTTTCAATTGCTCCATTAGATCGAGGATGGTAAGGTGGGGTCTTATAAGGCAAGCAAACCCATTTTCTTTTGCCACTGGTGAAAAATACAGTCTGACACCCTGTACATAGGCATAATCTTTATGTACTCTGCACCATGTTTATTTTCATTTAGCCATGTATGTAATGTCCTTTTACTTCATCTTTATCTCCACATATTTTTTACAGTTTTTTACATATACTTCAACATCTTGACAGTAACCAGGCCACCAAGCTTCCAACTTTAATCTACATTAAATTTGAATTATGCTATAATGTATGTCATCATGAACTGATTTGATGAACTTCTTTCTCATTATTTTAGGAAGTGCAATGAGGTCATCATTCCACACAATTCCCTTTTCAATATTCAATTTATTCCTAATAGATTTATAAGGTTTTTCTGCCATAGAGCACCTGTTCCTATTATTTTTTGTTAATTCTGGTTTTGATATCCATCAATACTCTATTATTTTCTGCTTCTTTTATTATTTGCTCAAGATTCACGATATCTGACTCGACTAAGTTTTTAAAGCTTTCTTGATCCTTTTTTTCATCTTGTGGTCGATAAGGCAATCTTGATAATGCATCAGCATAAGGAATGTTTGGAACCCTTGTAATTTATTTTGTAGTCATGCCATCATTTGTAGGGCCCATTTTAAAATTCTAGAATGTCCCTCTAGGCAGTTCTTTATTACAATCAAATATAAACTCTAATGGTCTGTGATCTGATATCAATTTAAATTTCTTATTCAACAAAAATTTTTAATGTATCAACCATAACATTTTACTAATCATATAAACGACTCAAGCTTTTTTTTTATCATTAGGAGGATTTAATTTGAGCAATTTGCTGACCAAATTACAATCTGGGGTAACTCCCTTCTCTGACAGTTCGTATCCTAAAAATGAAAGACTTTTTGTTTCGTTCACTGGTTTTCTTTTATTTATACTCATTTCCGATTCTTTCAATTTGCTCAAAATTTTACTCAAATTTGATCAAAGCTCTTCGGCATTTTTACCACTGACGCATATCATCTTGAAATAAAATCATATTAGGAATAATATCACCAACAACAGATTCTATTATTCTTTGAAATATCGTAATTGCAGTTTTTATTCCAAAAGGTAAAGATCTTCATCTTAACAATTTGATAGGGGTATTAACTGTTGTTATTTCTTATGCCTCTTTGTCCATCTTAATTTGATGATAAGCTCCCTTGAGATCAATTTTAGCAAAATATTTCATTTCTGCCATTTTATGAAATACAGTCTCAATATTTGGAATAGGATATGAGTCTGAGCATATTTTTTGGCTATCACCTATTTTGTAATCTGCGCATATGCATAAATCTCCATCTGTTTTTTTAACAACCACAAGGGGTGAGGCCCATTTGCTTCCACCAAGAAGAAATTATTCAGTCTTATGTCAATAGAAAGAGGTCGAGATTCAAATTAAGTTGGTTTTATGCCATTTTTTTACAGTTTAATTGCTATAAAATTAATTAAATGCCCATGAATAATAGGTTCTATACTATAACTAGTTTTGTTGCATTGATATTTAATATATCGATGCCAATAAAACCATGATTTTTGGACAATCTGCAATGATGATTCATACAATTTCCGTTTTCAAAATTGTCTCAAACTGTTTCAAGCGGAGATAACACTTTTGTGATTTAGGCTAAGACATATGTTCCTTAAAATTTTTTGGAAACTAATGTCTAAATCTAAATTACAAAAGTAATTTAGGTTTAGAATGATTGTGGCCTGACATCCGGTATCAACTTGCATTTTTTTATTGTAATCATTTATTTTTACATAAATCTCTGAGTTTGTATCAATCGTGCTAATGGAATATACATTAGCATCATCGTTCTTTATTTTCTCTACTGTTCTTCCATACTTACCACCACTACTTGTTTGCTTTGTTTACATTTTTAAAGTGGTTCAATTTCCTACATTTTTTACAACTTTTCCCAAATGCTGGGTACTTTCTAGGTAGGTGTTGAAGGCCATAATACTTGCATTTAATTGATTTTTCTTTATTTTTATTGATAAAATTAACTAAAGGGAGGTCTACGTTGTTTTCAATGTTGCTTTGTATACTAAAAGAGAATAGGGTCATTCCATGTAAAACTGGGACAGTCATTTTTAGTCACCTCTTGGATTTTCTTTAAATTTTACCAGGTAGTACATTATAACGAAACATGAAAAAATGCAAAATTTGAGCTCCCAAATCCAAATGCTTCAAAAGTTATGACGTTTTGAAATTCAGCCTAAAGCGTTCCTTTTTTTGCCAAGTCCGCCATTATGGATTTTGTAGTTGTACTTTTTAATGAATAATTTAAAATCTAGTGGAAGAATGTGGCTAAAAATGAGTACCTGACTATTTTTGGGGGTGCTGTATTCAAAAATGTAAAGCAAATAGTGAAATTTAAATTTTTTGATTTTAAAATGGTCAGTCCAACTTTTTGTTCTGTTACCATGGGTTGCACTTTTATCAACTCTCGGAGTTGCCCAAGTCTCGTGGATTCAATTTTTTTTTCAAACAAAGTAGGTGATACTAGGCTATTGTTATAAAAAAGATGGTTTTGGTTTCTTCAAGAATTATTAAGATATGTCATTTTGAAATTTAGACAAAAAAATCATTTTTTAGCCTCTATTCTCCATTATAGACTTTATAGCGGTACTTTTTGTGTAAATAATTAAAGTTCTAGTGGAGAAATATGACTGAAAATTGATACCTGATCAATTTTAAAGGTATTGAATACAAAGAAAAAGATAAATGAACCCTAATCCTAGTATTTGAGAATAATTTTTCAATTTTAAAATATCAACAATTAAATTTTTTTATTTCTTAACCATGGTTTACCTTTCCTTATTTCTGGAGTTGCCTTACTCTTATTGTGAAATAAGAGGTCTTAAAAAAGTTTAGGTTTCTAAAAGAAAATAAAAAAATTATAATGCTTTGCATAACTTGCATATTTATAATCAATATTTTTAAAAGTATACATGGAAATGTAATTTACTATACAACACATTGAAAATATAATTTTTTATTTATTAATTATAATAATTTAACGTAACATTACTTTATATCTAATAATAGGGTATTGTTGTGTTAAAAAAGAAGATGTTGATGGTGTTTTAACAAGAGAAATGACGTTCATTCTTGGCACCCAGCAATTATCATCCCGCTTTGGCCAGTAGTACGACCGACTTGGATAATTTGGATGCATAAACTTTACCATAAAATCGTCATTCTCTTTATCAACTTCAGAAACCATTCCAAGCCAGTAAAAATTGTCATATTTGCAAAATAGGTATTGTGAAATCATAACATTCTCAATTTTATTAATTTCGTATTTTTGTTTATTGAGGAAGTCAAATGTTAGAACAAAATCGTCATCATCGGATACCCTTTTCATTTTTATAGTTGAATGAAA